CCTTTCAGCATCAATTAGCAATGGAATTGACCATATTAACATTTACTATCTCACATAAACACTCCTAACACATATTCCAACACTGTTTACTCCAAGGACAATGTAGGAAAAAAATAATTAATTTATTCTTGACATCTGGAAAAAACACTTATTTTGGACCACAAGAAAAAGGGAGGGAGTAACTAATAGTAAGTAATTATTTCAAAAAAGTCTTCTACTTTTTTCATCTTAACGATCGCCTGAGGTAATTTGCTTGAAATTTTCAGATACATTGTTCCTAATTCGACGGAAATGTACTTCAACTTGTAGTGATCCCATCCTGATTCTTCTATACATAAAAGATTGATTTGAATTTGGTTTCATGGTATTAAGCAATTAAATTGACCATCATCTAAAAAAATTGGTATACTAAGCTAGCATTTGGACATAGATTTGGTTGAAACTTAAAAAAAAATTAAAATTGTAAAAAATAATTTTTGAAAGTTGAAGTTGTATTTGCGCATTAGAAAAAATTACACACTCAAAATAATAGCTGTAAATGTATATTTTTTGTATATAAAAACATTATGTATGTTATATACAAATATTATAAAAAATTTATACATTTTTTCGGCTACGTAATGTAAATAGTTTCTGACGCGGGCTAAAAATGAAAAAAGCTTAAAGTTTGTGAGTGGAAGCAAAAATTTCTTCAAATTTTTTTTCAAAAACTAATCAAATTCCAGTTCAATGTTTTCAAATTTTCTTTGGAAAATTGAAAAAAAATCTATATCCAAATGGGTCTTTAGTTTTGAAGAGATAATATTTACGTAACAAAGGTACGAGTATAAAGTTGTTCTTTTTACTTTTTAAAATACTAGCTTTAGTGTACGTGCGTTGCACGTGTGCTTAGCGTCAATCAATACGAGTATACGAAGAACATGTAAATCAAGTTATGAGATGCTATGTTTTAAAATGTCTACATTAAGTTAATATTTTAAAATAAGTAACTTTATACCTAGAAAAGTATAGGGAGTTGCCATTTATTTAAATGAATACCAAAAGAAAGAAAATTAATTAATGGCAACTCACTTAGAATGTATTGGTCTTCTAATGTTTTATCCTTATTGTTTTTAACGTTTGCATTTTTAACAGTTTGACTCTTACTTCTAAATTATAATCGATTTTATTATATTTTTAAAAGAATCACTTGGATTTTTTCGCAAATTAGTTAAATCAAAGACTTTTTTGGTTAATTAGGACTGGTACTAATGTTAAAGAGAATTTTTTTTGTTGTTGATTGAAATATTAATATTAGTTCATTCAAAGTTTAAAATATCTAACTGTAATTATAATTTTTATCTAATAAGAATTCTACATTTAGTGTAATAAAAAATCGCTATGACATCACTTTTGGACTTTTATGTTAGTACAACCATTAGTGTTTGAAAATTACCAACACTTCTCTTTCTTTTATTTTCATAAAATTAAAATATTTTCTTATTTAAGCTTGGTACTTCAATTTTTAAAAAATGGGGATTGATTGAGATTACTGCGTTTGTGATTGCTAAATATTTATTCTTACTCCCAAGTATAATTTAATAACAAAAGTTTAGTTGATATATATTAAAATTATAAATATGAGAAAAATAATTCAATGCGCATTTTATTATTTAAAAGAAATACTCATAAATCTTGAAAAAGTACTCCTAAAGCTGGGTAAAAAGAGAGGAAAATAAGGACACATACACCAAAAAATAAGGACTACTAAACCTAAATTTTTATAGCAAAAAAATACTCGTAAACCCAATATAAAAAAATACTCGCGAAATGCTTGGAATTCAATACCTTAAATCTAAATAGAGATTATATGAAGGACTCCAATCACATAACATAATTTTTTAGATCAATGTCCTAAGAGTTAGAAAAATAATTAAGCGATTATTCATAAATATTAGGAAAATAATTAAATGGCGATTTCTACAATTTAGGAAAATAACTTAAATTATTATTTTGTGCAACGTGAAAGCTATTATTAAAGGGTAAAAATACGAACCATTGCGCGTGAACAATATCTAGATGAGTATGAACTACTAAAATATTACATAAATATTCTATTAAAAATTATGTTTGAGTGATAAAATAAATATTGTAGAAAAATATTTTTCTTTTTCCTTCCTTCCTTACTTTCCACTTCTTCTTGTTGTCCTTCCTGAGCCGAGGGTCTACTGAAAACAGCCTCTCTACCTACATTAGGTAGGGGTAAGGTCTGCGTAGAAACTACCCTCCCCAAACCCCACCTGTTGGGATCAAACTGGGTTTGTTATTGTTGTTGTTGTTGTAGAAAAATATAAGTTCTTGACAATAGTAGTTGTTGAACCTATCTAGTTAACACAATAAGCAAAAAATATTATACCCCATGTAAGCCCTCAATCATGTTAGTCAATATATTCAACTTAAAAATTATTATAAATTATACACATTAATCCTTGAACATTTAAGTTATTACGTAAAATTTATTTGAAAATTTATATATTCTTAAGTTCATTATAAAAAACACAAATAATTTAACTAACTAACAAAATTACCTTTTTTCTCTCAAATACAAATTGTGCTATATACTTTAATTAATAAGAAAAAATATAGTAATTGTTTTCAACAAATTAGTAAAGAACCTAGTGTCTATGATTGTAATAAAATTTTATGCAATTCACGGGTTCTAAAACGACTACGCTAATACTATTCTAGAAGGAGTAAAATATAAAATACATGTTAAAATTAAAATTAGGTTTTGTTCTACACGTTAGATAAATATTTGAAACGTAGATATACTTTTGAAAGAAAAATTAGTTTTTCAAAAGGTATAAAAGTTGGTATATAGATCAATTTTCACTATGTGACAGTTAACTCTATATAACTCTCTCTATAAAATTTTAGGTTATTAGGTATTTTAAATACTTATATTTATTGTTATGTTAATTTTCTCGAACATGAACAATTATTTTTATCCTTTGAGAATATTTATTTTTTAAATTCAAAACATGACAACTAACCAAAATGTTAGATTTCAAATAATTTTTCCATCTAACACTAACTAATTTTTTGAAATCCAAAACCTTCTTTGTTTTCCGATAAATACAATATTTGGCTTGTTTTTTTATTTTAAGCTTCATAATTTATTAAGAATGTTTTGGTTCGTTTGTATCTAGAGAAAGAAACATACTCATAATTACAAAGTTAATTTTGTACAAATATTCTTTGTGTGGAATTAGGATTATTTAATCTATAAGGAAGATTCATACTTAAACGCTAGTACTTATTTTATTCAATACAAACAAGGAAAGAATTTACATAAATAAAAGCTTACTTGATTTAAATTCTTAAATATTAGGACTTCCTAAATAGTTCAAATAAGGAAATATTTTATAACTATAATTTTAGTTGATTTCAAAGTCCTAAATATTAGGAAAATAAAAAGTCCTAACTATTAGGAAAATAATTAAATTACTATTTTGTCTAGTGTGAAATCTATCTTTAAAGGGTAAAAAAGACGAGCGACATTTCGCTAAGGGCCTTCGTGCTTTTAATATAGTATAGATCAACAGTTCACATGCAGCGCTTGAAACCAAAGTCACCTAAATCCCTCTTCCATGCAAAGTGGTAATATTCGCACCTAAATGGTACACAAACTTCAATCCGCAATTTTTACTACTCCCTCTATTCTCACAAAAATCTACTCTTTTTGTCATAAAAAGAATTGCCACTTTGCATGGAAGAGGTATTTACTAGGGGCAAAAAAATCAATGATACTAGAGAAAAGAAAAGAAAAGAAATTAACCATAAGATTTAATTGCAGTGGGCAGAATCATTTATCTGGTGCAAGAAGAAAGGCACGGTTAGAGCCATTCGCTGCTCTCCACGTGTCAACAAGAAAGTGTCTGATGACATGGCACAAGGCACATGCTGACGCAGAAATCTGATAAGCCGACTCATCATATCATCCTAACAAATGACTCCTGACACATCATTCATGGTGAAAAAAAGCTCCACGTGTACATGAAAAAGATGACAAATTCTTTTTAAAATAATTCTGACCTTGACTTTTGCTGTGAACTAGGAAACCGAATCACTTTTGACAAGTTGCAAATATGCTATCCCTGTGTGTTTGGATAAGCTTAGAGTCACGTCAATAACCAGTTAGGGGCAACAAATTTCCAATTTGGAAATCTAAGGGTTGAAAACTTTTATAGCCACACATCCTCCCCTAAATTTTCAAACATTATTTGGCACCTTCTGATTTAGCATCATATCCACGGAACCAGGCACAATGCTAACAAAACTTACATTTACCTTTACACCAAATCAATAGGTGCATAATCATAATCATAATCATAATCATAATCATAATCATACGATAGACAAATCAACCAATCAGCCTGAAATACTAACTGCAATCACAACGGTCTCATGTTTTTACAGAACAATAACATAGTAATATCTATTCGCGGAACTAGACGAGTAGAGTAAAAATTTAAAAAAATAAGGGCATCATGAACCGGGTACTCTGTTTGTTCAAGGAAAAGTTGTCATCAACACAGAAGTTAACACTTGGCCACACAAGAATCTGTCGACTTTAGTGATCTTGTGACATAGTCAGCTGGACAATAACATTGGGTGGATCCCATTATGAAGTACCTGGTCGGAAGTTTATGAAAAAGTTCATGACATCACTCTTTTCTGACCCTCTAAAACGTGCAAAGATATGACAACCATAAACTAATGTGAATGGAAGACGTAAATGTCCATGTGCCATACGTTTTGCAAATTCAATCTGGAGTGAAGCTGCAGGCTTAGAAGCTTCCGCATGAAATGAACTGCAAACGTCATACTAGATAAAATCAAAGAGATCTCCTGCAAAATTCTATATTCCACCTCGGCAGCATTAACTCCATTGCCAACACATGGTTCAATTTCAAGAATACATGTTTGGAAAGGGACATACTGTAGTGAAACAAACATGAAAAGAGATGAGTAATGGCAAAAGGATAATGAGGCCATACAAGGGATCAAGAGTCAGTACGTACTTCGGTTGTTCTGATTCATTTTCTTGGAAGATGAGGCTTTGTCGATTCTACAACCACCTGCTTACCCACCACAAAAAAATAAGAGGAAAAACAATAAATTACAACAACAAAACACTTGCCAATTCTTAGAAGCCACACTTCCACTTCTTAATTTATAACAAGACAAAATTCTTAAGCCAATTTAACATGAATTAGAAATAATAAACTAATTGTCCAAGTACACATGCACAATTGTGGGAACATTTTCTATGTCATCCTGAAATCTGGACTCAGAATTCCAACACAAGAAAAGACACAGATGCAACCACAAGCCTCCACTTTAAATTCCTTCTAAATATAAAAGCATAGAATTATGTAATCATAATTATGATGTAAAATAAATGTATTAATCGGACAAGCTAAAGACAGCTGTCAAAAATATAAAGATGGATGTTAAAAAATTTGGACAAAATTTTCTATTCGCCTATTTTGCAGCAATACCTCCTATTGTTAATGCAGATCAAAGCTAGAGTAATTCACAGACTGCAAAATCTGCTGGTTAATTTCCATAGACGACATGCATATTTCTTCTTGGTTCTTCTGGCAAATACCAAATAGAGATCTTACCCTTCCATCATATGATAATGATGCAAATATCCACGGCTCTCGATAGCTCCAAGCAAGTCCTACAACCAAGATGGACTAGTCAACTGATGCTTACAAATTAAGCTGATGAGGCAACAAGAAGTGCTTACTTACCATACACACTGTCTTCATAGTCACTATATGAGTTAAGCAATGGATCGACTGGCCTATTAGGGGAGTCAAAGCTGAAAATCCAAAAACTTCATGAGATACAGTGAGAGAAGATATTTTCAAGTGATTATTATTTTTTATTTTTTTGCTTTTTCTTCCTTTCCTTTTTTGCGGAGAAAGGGAAGAGGTTTAAGAAAGCACCTCTCTGATGATGGTTTGTCGCCACTAGGAGGAGAAGCCCGCCACAGATTGACAGCAGAATCAGTTCCAGCACTCTGCCAAAGATTTTGTTTCAGCAACAAGTTATCAATGACCATAGTAGAACACACAACTTGTTTTTAATACTAAAACCATATGCATAGTAGATAAGACATGGGACATGCTGTCAAGAGCTTTCAGTGCAAGTTACAGAGCTAAAAGTCATCCTATATCTAAAAACTTTAAGATGGAATGCTTTTTTTTTTTTTTTTGGGGGGGGGGGGGGGGGGGTAATTCAGCATAGAAAATTGTGGCTCAGTGGATGTGTGCACACGTGTGCTCTGTACATAGAGAGGAAAGACAAACAGATACAGAAAATGAAGAGAAAGAACCAGAATTAAGTCTTCATATTCGGGATTGCACTTGACAGTCCATGTCCTGTGAACAAACATCAACTGCATTTACTCAATATGGAAAAGGAAATCCAGAAAGAAATTCTAATCCTTTACCCGAACGAAAAAAGTATACGTTCATTAATTTGTAGGACACATAGTGAAACACAAATTAAAAGACCAGAACAATAATCTTATATCAAAAACTGAATTAACTAAATGTAAGAGTAAGCAGCCTCATTATTGCCACAAAGAAGTACCAGTGAGCATGTCCAGGAAGCTCAAGGACGGGAAACTTCAGCATTCTAAGATCCCATATATGTATCCCAGATTCATCTTCAGCCGTTACCTGCAGCATTTAAATACATCTTCACTGACACAGAACGCCTGCTTTCTTCCAGGGAAAGAAAAAGAAGCTAAGAACGAACTACTTTGAAATTTTAAACAGACAGTTGAAAATTACGACGGTAAAGCTATGATAGCAATACCTTGCACATAGAAAACCAATACCACTTTCTCCTGTGTGTACCCATTTTAAATCTTACGAGGAAAAAAAATGGAGAACCTAAAGCATTCAGAGGTGAAAACCCAGATTTATCAAGTCTAGCTAACTATTGATATTTCACTTTGATTCTTACTTGGAATCTTATTATGTTCTCTTTAAGAAATTTAAAAATATTGTTCCAAACATAACAGAAAAAATCCTCAACTTGATCACGGTTTCTTGATAGAAAAGTTCCAAGAACACAGGATAATCATCTTCATATCAAAACTGGCATGTTAAAGATAACAAACTTCTATTTAGGTACAACAACAACAACAACAAACCCAGTATGATCCCAACAGGTGGGTACAAACTTCTATTTAGGTAGATGGAGATATTAAAATACATAAATATGCGAACTTCTTCAGATTAAACAAACAATCATTGACCAAGAACCAGAAGCCTGAAACAGAAGTACAGCCATTAGAAACACCAGACCACAGCCATACACTTTTGAGGAAGTACTTTCCATGTCTTGACATTCTTCTCATTCCATTCCATAGAATGATCACTAGCAGGAAACAGAAAGTAGAAAGTAGAAGATAGTATGTTTAAAGAACAAAAAGATTTATCCTTTCCTTCTTCGAGCAGCAGCAAGAGTACCTCCCAACTTCCCATATTGAAATTTAAATGTTAGTCTGAAAAATCATAAAGGAAAAGGAAAAAATGTTTCCTAAGATGGGTCTACATTAGAGTGTCAACTCCTAACGTTGTTGATATCAACATATATGCATACAGGCAAACAACAGATATACTTCACACATTCATAAAAACTTACTCAAAAAGATTTTTTCATTTACAAACAATGGACGATAAATCAAGGGAAAGATGCAACTTAATAACTTCACAAAGCTATGTACTTACAAGCATAAACTTTCTCTTCACATTGTAATCTAAATTACGGACATGGGGATGATCAATTGAGTTTGTTTTCCTGCAGTAGAATTAGCCATGATGTAAATTGTGTCTTGATAATTATTCAATTAATAGGACAAAGCAAAAATAACTTAACATGTACATAAAAAAAAGCAATTAAATAATGCAGTGAGCAACTTTTGTGCCTTAAACTTTTACCCTTTTGTAGTAAGCGCACACTGTTATATTTGGGCCCTTGAAACTATTTATTATTCGTTTATTTCTTAAAATCTATGCCACGCTATGACTTGGATCTCTAGTTTATGGCACTAGATTCTATGAAATAGATGGAGTATGTGCTTTATGGTTTTATTTCTCTGTATAGATTAGGCTATATCAACAACATGACAATATTTTCTTTTTCCCCCTCTTTCAAAGTATATTTTGTCCTAAGAGATATAGTTGTCCATGCCATGCTACTTACTTACCGTGCAAGTACTCTCTTCCATTCTTTTCTGGTATGATTTATCTTGAACTTATTCACAAGTGAACAGTGACTAACAACAACCCATGAAACAGAATATAGAGAATGAAGTACCATATTCACTTACTTCATTGTCCGTAGATCCCAAAGTTGGACTGATGATTCACATGTTAGTGCTAGAGCATTATAATCATGAGGATCCCAGGCGCCCCCAGATAAAGAATGTAGCACACCTGCTGATTCTTGTGATTGTACCTAAATTTTGCAGCAGACCTGAATAAAAATTAGCCCCACACAAAATCAGAAGTAACAACACTTTTACAACTATGCTTGAGGTTCGCTGGAGCTAAGAACGGTGATATCCAAAGACGAAACACACAGAAGCCTAAGGTAAACTAAAGACCACCTTGTATTCTAAAAAAAGGCACGAGGATACACTAACCAAAAAGAACATCTCAAGATAAAATTTTCCAGCCCAGTAAATAGGTTTTAGCTGTAACAGAAGCAGTATATAGTGCAATTACATGTTTATTTTGAGCGATCTATTTCTAGTAATCAAACAGTTCGGTGCTTAAAACGTCCAGCTATGAGGAGCATCAGTGAACTTTCAGCCAACATATATGCCATTTCAAATTGTTCATCAGCTTTCACCCTATATGTGTTAACTGAGTATTATTATTCGTATGTTCCTAGTTCACAGTATTTTCAAACTATCAGAAGGTTGCACAAATGTAGTATTATGCACTGTGGATTTGCTTCTCCAACCCCTTTTCCCATGCCAAACAATGATATACTTCTTGCAGTAGCATAAGAGAAATGACTGTTCAAGAAAGCATGTCTGGATCGAAAATATGTTAACGGGAATACCAAACATGAGCAGCACCTTTCTCAAAAGACAACTAAAACAAAAGGCGAAATACATAAACCACCTCTTTAAGTTGTCCTCAACGATCAGCCAGACACCCTAACTAAGCCAATGACCAACTAAACACCGCAGGTGTCTATTAAGAACGTCAACTAAACACCCACGCATGACTTGGCATATCGCGTGTTGCACACTCATGTAATAGCATGTTGCCTCAAATTTTAACCTATTTCCAGAGGTAATAAATGGGTGTAATTCCTAATTTTTCCTTATTGAGGTCTCATTTTATACCCAAAACACCTAATTAACACTTCCTCTTTCTTCTCTCTATCTCCCCTACTTGTGACTAGGTTCCACCATACTATTTTCCCAAAATCTGCACTCACGAGCTCTAACCTAGGTTTTTCTACAAGAACATGCTTTTTGTTTTTTAATTTCTAAGTGTGTTTGTTTATGAGAATGGTAAGGGAATGTGGAGGTGGTATGATACTGAAAGAGATAGAGGAGATCTGCGTTTTTTCAGTGAAAAAATGGAGAGTTTGCCTTGAGTTGAGATGTAAAATTGGTGAAAATGACATGAGATTAAAAAGGAGAGAAGTAGCAAGAAGAGAGAAAAGCTTCATTTTGATTTCATTTGGCAGTTGAAGAAGATGGGTGGGGGAAGGGAACAGAATGTTGATTTCTACTTTTTCACTTTAACACCATGAACCATCATGGTTCATACATGGATTATAACCTTCAAGACCACTGGATTTGGCGCCACTCTTTTAGCCTTTGGGGTTTTAAGTTCCTAATAATCCCTATAAACAGAGGAGAAAAGGGAAGAAGTGAGGCAAAACAGAAAGCAAGTTGGATTTGCCAGCCCATTTCCTTTTCCTTGTGGTTGTTGCTCTTTTACATATATAAATTGTTAGTTATTGGAATATTCTGTCCTACAATGGCATTGGCTCTATTGAATTAGGGATGAGAGAGAGATAGGAGGTGAGAGGGAGAAGCGGCAGAGGAAGAGGAAGAATACGTTGGGGGGGGGGGGGGGGGTTGAAGGTGCAGGGCGCTGGTGTGCTTAAAATTAAAAAAAAAAAAAAAGGGGGGGGGGGGGGGGGGGGTAGGTTTCTTTTCTTCAAGTGTATATCTTTGTTGATTACAATGTTTTAAAAGGCGTTTCCGGGGCGAGCCCTGGGGCGAGGCGCACCAAAAACGCTCCGAGGCGATAGTGTGGGGCGAAAGTCTCAAGAGGCGTACGCCCGGGCGTTTAAGGCGCATTTTTTTAGTGAGCGTAAGTCCCAGAGACTTTTTCAAATTAAAACAAAATTTGTTGAATAAATCCTTCATATAATACCCAGGTTCTCAACATTCAGCTTGGTAATTACTCAAAAGTTTTAAAAAGGAACTGAAATGTATTAAATTTAAAAGTCAAGACCTTTTTTATTGATTGAAGCTTTAATTCATGGTCTTTCCCAATTCTTTATCTTATCCGCTAGTCTGCTAATATCTCCCAAAAGCAAGAATATTCAATTTCTTTTACAAATACAAAGAGAACTGCATTCTACTTCATATCAGCAAGTTCAAAGTTCAAATTGCAAGTTAGCCATCCTTTTTGGTCCTCCATGTAGAAAACTTTATTCTGTTCGGCTCAAGTTATTTGTACTTCTAAGTAGCGTATAATAGATTGTTTTGACTAGTTTTTTGTGAGGATGAAGCACATCTATATTTATATTGTTTACATATTTCTTCAATTTTTATGCAAATTTACCTGTTTATAAATATTTAATGTAATTATATTATTTTATAAAATATTAAAAATAAAATACCTATGAAGCTTACGCCCCACTGAGGCATATGTAAAACGCCTCGCCTTACGCCCACGCCTTGTAAAACACTGGTTAATTATAAATGTCATATTTTTTAATTACAAATTAGGCGTGTCATTGTTTAATTGGTTCATTTGACATGTCATTGGCAAGTGTAACTTACGCATATGGTCTGCTGCACTCGGGTGTCTATTTGATATACTTAATAGTCACTTGAAGTGTTTAAATGATAAAGGGGCCAATTGAGGTGTCTGGCTGATCGTTGAGGACAACTTAAAGGGGCGGTTTATGTATTTCGCCACAACAAAATCAACATGAAGGATTTTACTTGGTCATTTTTATATGGACAGATCTAAGTAACCATATGCTGGAATATACCTGTGCATTTTTCTTTGAAGTATCAAAACTCCAGAGGAAAAGATTCTGCTCATCAATGCTAACCAACTTGTCATGCCTTCCTGTTGGCCACCAAAGTGTGCTGCCCACCATTTGCAATACGTTTAAGTGTCCGGGTAAATGAAACACATATGACCACAATTTAATAGAAAATTAAGAATAAAAAGGATGAGTCTTTGAAGCATGATAAACCAAAAGAGAAGGATCATAAACTGTTAACTACTTAAAACATCTCAAACACGAATTAAAGAACCAATTTGTTAGTAATTTACGGCTATCGAATTCTAATTATATGACCACCATCTCAAAGAGCTCACAGTTCTTTAAGATTATGCAAAAATTTGTTCAAGCAGCAGAACTGCTAGTTGAGACCAAAAGCTTTGAATTGCTTCATTCCAGAGAGCAAAGCAAAGAAAGGAATAAGCATGAAACAGAACACAGAAAGAAATGATGACTTTTGAAGTATTAGGATTTTTCATCCAAAATCAAAGGACTGCATTTTCGAATATATTTGAAGCACTCATGAATCATGGCACTCCAATTTTGGGAGATAATTAGGTTAGCTTTATCGAAGGGCAGCGTTAGATATAATATCAGCAACAATGTAACTGTTGGAAATCATATCATCAATATATTTAGCATAAGGGCTAACGTAGCATTGGATACCAGTACCAACTTGGTGCTGATGAATATATTGTTACCTTACTAAAAAAAAGAGCTAATGTAGCATGGAAATTAGAAGAGTTAATGTAGCATAGGAAGTGATAATAGGAGCTTCTTCTTTTTTTTTTTTTTTTTGAGAAGGAAATGATAATAGAAGTTAATGGAGCATAGGATTTCATCGGATCATAATTTCAAGTTGTTTTCTCTTTCTGTAAAATAAGATGCAATCATGCTTATATGTACCTAGATGGAAGCTGTTGTCAGTTGGGTAAGTTTCAATATTAAGCATTAGAAGTTACAACCGCAGCATCCATTCGAATGATTGAATGAACATGCAGAGTTTTGATGACAAGAAAATAAAGAGAATTTTGCACACAATGCATTCTGTATTTCTACTCTTAAGCCTTAGTGTTTATTTTTTATTATAAGCATGACAATCTTTTGAGCTCAGCGGCTACAGTAAGCTGTTCAAGTTTACCATATTTAAAAAGACTTACCACTTTATCTTCGAGCTATGAGCATCAAGAGCCGCAATCTTCTCTAGTTGTGGAGAATTCAACTGGCCATACAGCTCAGGGATCTGCCATATTGCTGCCCCATATGTTTCACCTACACACAAATAGATCAAATCATAGAACCGAGATCTCAAAAACATCAAATGACCAAAAACAACCGCACAGCATTCTAACATCTAAGGAATGCCACAAAAGGCAATTCAAATGCAAAGAACATCCTTGCGATCTTGCTTAAGCAGGAAAGTGAAGATCAGAAATTCAACTTATGATGCTACAAAATCGAAAAGAAACAAACTATTGCTCAAACCACCAAAGGATACTAATTCTATGGAAAATAGCAGAACACCAAAATCAATAGCAGTGTGGTTCAACCAAGCAACACCAATTAACTAGCACCCAAGGGTGTGACCTAGTGGTCAATGAAGTGAGAGGAGAACCATGAGGTTTCAGGATCAAATCTCAGCAGAATCACAAAATACTGGGTAATTTCTTTCCTTATGTCTAAGCTTGGTGGGAAGAGATAACCGGTACATATGGTGGTGGGAGGTAGCTAGTACTTGGTGAAAGAGTCGAGGGGCACAAAGCTGACCTTGACACTACCGTCATAAAAAAGCACCAATTAACTACGCATCAATCCCAAATTAGTCGGCTCAACTATATGAATCTTTTGCATTCATTTCACTCTATTGACAGGATTAACTATTAAAATCATTAATATCACATTAAACAAATTCAAGCAAAAGAGAACTGTCATGCCTAGATACTAAATTCCACTTTTAATTTAACAAATCTAAAAGATCACAGAAGCAACAACACACTATGTTCATGCAAATCAACTCAATCCAAAGTTAAGAAAACGAGACAGTGAACTAAGACAATTCATTAGTCGAATATACAGTTATACTGTCAGGTGCTGATAGAAAATTGAGCTGTAATCTAACAAAAAACTAAAAAATCAACAGAAGAAACAACATACTATGTTCATTCAGATCAACTTGATCCAATGTTATGAAAATGAGAAAGCTAACTAAAGAAGATTCATTAGCCGAAAAAACCGTAAATAAAGGAAAATTAAGCAATAAACTTACCGGAAGAGAAAACAGTAGAGAATATACGTTGATCGAAGGGACACGAAGCAAGGTCCCAGATCTCGTTAGGATGAGAAAAGAGACCTTCACAGATCAATTCAGTGCCAGCTGAAGAAAGCCGAATCAAATGTACCTGCAGAATGTCGCATTACTGGCCAATTCACTAATTAGGATGAAGTATGAAACGAAGGTAATTGAGTAGTACCTCATTTTCTTCTTTGAGGCTGAGAGTTCCGGTGAGGAAACTGGTGTGATCCGTGTCGGCTTTCACGTCGGCGATACACCGTGCCTTATCCGATAAATCAGCGAATAATTAGGGTTTATGCGAAATGAAAGGAGGAAAATAATGAGGATTGGAGTTGAACCTGATATTTGAGACCATAACCGATTCCAGTTGATCCTCCTTGCATTGATTCGCAGCGTAGAGCTTGAGCTTTTTCGCGGTTTGATTTTAACTCGGTACAGATCTTAAAGTGACGATATTTTAATGCGTGAGTTACACATTTAGGCCTCATTTGATTTTTTTATTTATTAATATATTTGAATATTAAGATTAATATATTTGAATCTGGATACATATTTGAATATATTAAATATATTAAGATATGTATTAAGATCTGAATAGAAATAATTAAGATTGCTTGAATTTTGACATCTGAATGTATAAAATTTATCTTTATTTGAAAATTAATAAACATAAAATTCAAATGAAATACTAACTAATCTATATTCTATCAATAAAATATGATAGTTGTTGGTGGTGATGGCTAACGGGTGAATGTCGATTAGAGGCGGTGGTTGATGTTAGTTTTGGTTAATGATGGTGGTTCATGCTAGTAGCTAGCAGCGACTGGGAGCGATGGCGATTATAATCGAGGATGATGAAGGAGGGTGATGATAGTTAATAATGGCGGGTGGTGGTAATAATCTGTTAGACGTGATAATAATGGTGGGAGTCCCATTTGCTATAAACGATTGCATTCGGTGATTGCAAGTTATGAGTTGCAGTCATAGATTATGAGTAATACTTTTAATTTGCATTCACAACTACAATTTATAAGTCCCATTCCGTATTTTAATAAATTACATTTTTCAAGTTGCATTTTATTTACTTCAAAATGCAGTTCTGTCCGTACAAGTACGATTTAAGGGAATATCACTCTGTCTCATAAGGGTCGTTACTCAATTAAGTTAGAGCCCGTTTGGATTAGCTAATTGTAATAGCTAATAAACTTGAAGTGCTGAAAAGTGTGCTGAAAAGTTTTTTTAAGTGCTGAAAATAATTTTAAAACAAGCATTTATGTGTTTGGATAGAAGTGCTAAAATGATAATAATCAGTTGATGTGTTTGATTAAAAAGTGTTAATAAGCTATTCTTTGTTAAATTGACTAAAATACCCTTGATTTTTTTTGCAAAAGATTATGAATTAAAAATTTATTTGTAAAGAAAAGAATTACCAACGAATATGGTATGAGGGGAATGTCAAGATATTTATTTTGAGAAAAGTATTTTGTAATCAAAAAATATTATTAAGGATAAACTAGTAAAAGTGTTGGTCAAACTAAAAATGCTTATAAGCCGAAAAGTTATAAGTTGGGGGTAGGGGTGCTTATCGGGCGAATTGTGCGGATAATTACGCTTAACGATTCGGCTTATCGGTTATCGGATTATAAGTGTAGTAATCCGCTATCCATCCAATAAGATAACGGGCGGATTGGTATTTGATTAATAATTATCGGGCGGTTTAACGGATAAATCAAATAATTTTTTTTTTGAACAATCCTAATTTGTTGCTACATGAAAGAATTTGTTAACACTTTGTAATTTGTATTCGATTGTCGAATGAGTCAAGAAAGAAGTATTTCCACCTATAAATTAAGGTTATTATGATACGTAACAAAGCTCCTAATAACTATAGAAAAGACTGAAACTTTATCTCTAAATTATTTTGAATTATTTAGGTACTTTATAATATGACATGAATGCACCAGGCTTTCATGTTTACATAACGTCACATAATACCAGGTTACATGATTTTAGTTTTTTTTTTCTTTTTAAAATTCAATCTACTCGACGAAGGAGAAAATGGAATAAAAAGGAATTACAATGATTCACTAACACACGGATAAAAGCATAAATATAAAAATTCCTAACGGGATAACGGTTTATCCGATAAGAAAATTGAGCAATCCGCTCCCAAACCGTTAAGCCGTTAATTATAAAATCTCAATACGTTCACAAACCATTACCCCGATAATCCGATGCCAATAAACCAATAAGCCATCAGTACGGTTCAGCTAATGGTTACAGTTCGGTTTTGAACAGCCCTAGTTGGGGGGACCAGCTTATGAGCTTATGACTTATGGCTGATTTTAGCTTATAAGCACTTTGGGTGTTTACGAAGTGCGTAAATAAGCCAAAAGGTGCTTAAAAGCCAGTTTGACCAGCTTATAAGCTTAGCCAAATACCCTCTTGCATGTAAATCGCATTTCACATTTGTGTTTTGAATGTTTTTTAACTTCTCACAAAATTATACACTAGTGAGAATTTTCAACCATAGTTGCTCATTTCTACAAAATTCGTCTAATAAGGATTGTAAATGTATAATGAGATAAATCGGTCGTTACATTAAAATTCTCCAAAAATATACTTGTTTCGACTTTTAGCATCTTAGAAGCTTGGTAAATAAGCTCAAGACACATAATATAAAATAAAAAAGAGATTTTGGCTATTGTATTTTAAAGGGCAAAATACATAATTTGCCACCTGAACTATATACCAAATCCCTGTTACACACTTTCTGACGGCGAAAATCATTTTACACACTCAACCTTTCTGAAATGTATCAATTACACATCGCTTTTTTCTTGATCAGTTTTCTAAAATATGTGTAATATCACGTACCAATAAGGCTATGACACGTGTCATTTTAAATAAGATATAAATAAAATGCTTAAAATTACAATTATATCCCTTAACTAAGTTCCCCCATTCAACTGTTTCTCTTCTCCGACGAATAATCTCCATTGCCGCTGACCAGTAGAAAGAAAACATACCATCAGCTTCCAATTCAAACCAACACACAACAGCCAAAGCTAACTATTACTTTTTTATTTCTATATAATTGTGGTCAGCTCCTAGCTTTCTGTGCATTTTATTCCTAGAAATATCGAGATTCAAAATAGAAAAACTCAAGAGAGTGAGAGGAATTAGAGATCTTCAGATACACGACAAAGACTGCAATGGAGTTAGCAGCGAGTCAAACAAAAGTACATCATTGATGCTAAGGCTACAAGCTATATTTCTCAAGTTAAAAGAGCATCAAAGACATCAAAATTATTGTTGGTTTTGTAATAAATTCCCCCAAGATCTGCATTAAATTGTCAAAAATTTCATCAAAAAGTTGCTACACCACCACTGGCCACTAATTCGCCGCCGTCTTCTCCGATCAATAAAATCTAAAACCACCACCTTAAAGAAATATAAGCTCATAAACAAAAGAATAAGTAAGATTATTGAAAACGTTCCCATATTTTGGGGAAGAAGACAAGGGAAATAACTTCTGGGTTGGAAAAGTATAAGGTAAGGTTCCGTCGAAATAGGGTTGAGGCTTGGTGGTAGCGAAACGGTGAGTAATTAAAGAAAGGTGTTAAAATTATTATTTCTAGGATAAAATATTAAATTTGTGACACAGTGTAAATCTATGAAAGAATTAACACAAAATTTGTACAGCTTAACGCGCTTTTTTGAGTATAAAATACGCGACTCAAAATGGTGTGTATTAGACACACTTCAAAAAGGTTGAGCGTGTAAAATGATTTTTGCCCTAAGAAAGTGTGTAAGAGGGATTTGGTTCATAGTTCAAGTGGCAACTTATGTATTTGGTCTATTTTAAAGTCTCACATTTCTTTGAATATCAAAGTGAATTCAGTCTTACTATTTATGTACAGATCCCTGTCCAAGTGGGCTGAAAAGTGAGCCCAAAAATTTCACGGTATAGCCAGTTTTTGGACTGGTCAATCAAAAATAGCCAGTATTTACCAAGTTAATGAAAAATAGCAACTATTTTGCTGCAATAGAGACCGGTCCAGCATAATATACTGGAGTTCGGTGCACTTGTGTATGAACTCCAGCATATTATGCTGGACCGGTATACTTTGCTGGCTCCAGTATAATATACTGGAGACTGGAGCACCGGTGCTCCAAACTCCAGTATATTATACTGGACCAATATACTTGTTGGAACTCCAGTATATTATGCTGGAGTTCTAGTGTACTTATGCTGGAACTCCATCATATTATGCTGGAGTTCCAACATACTTATTCTGGAACTCCAGTATAATATGTTGGAGTTCAAGTATACTTATGCTGGAACTCCAGCATAATATACTGGAGTATTTTCCGGGTTTTGAACAGTGTTTTCGCTCAGATTTATCTTTATACAAAAATTAGCTAAATTTCGATTACTTTTAAAATTGAGCTATTTTTGAACGACCAGTTGTAAATCTTGCTATTTTTAAAATTTACCTCATAAATCATAATCAAGAAGCCCACCGGAGGACCCGAAAGCCCATAATCATCACTGCCCATAATCATCACTGACTCACCCAGACTCATTCCTCTTCCCATAAGCTTTTCATGTTGTTATCATCAATGGAGATAATAGGGTTTTAGCTAAGGAAAAAAGAAAAACAATTCACTAAAAATATTCTAAAATGTCGTCGTTGACGTTGAAACCAAAATTTCTCTTGCAGTCTTACGGTACTTCGTCTGTCGATAGTCGACGGCTTTGTTCTTTAATTAGCTTCCAGAAGAAGAAAACATTTCGGAAACAAAGATTTACTTTGAGAGCTCAATCCTTCGATTCCTCTCAAAAAAACAATGAAAATGACAGTAAAAATGAGTCGAAACCTCCCAACGGCTCTATGGTACTCAAATTTTCAGTCTTTGTTCTTTATTTGGAATTAGTGTACTTTTTTTAAAGTTGAAAATGTTGGTTTGCCCTATATTGTAACAAAAATGCAGGCAAAGCAGGTTGAAAGATTTTAAAGTTAATAATGTTTATTGCAGCAAAAGAGCAGAAGGGAAATTCTATTGGAGTATGTACAAAATGTACAACCGGAATTCATGGAGTTGTTTGTCAAAAGGGCCCCACAACAGGTATTAGCTATAAAGTTTTATACTTTGATGAATTTTACCTTTTTAAATTTTTTTCTTGTGCATTTTCACTGTATATAGCAGGCCTAATTGGCCCAAATAGAGCGGAATAGATGTAGAGGACTCGTATAGATGAATCCAACTATTTTGTATTCAGGTAAAGCTGTTAGGTTTGTTGATGTAGTGAAGTAAACATAAGTGAAAGAGCTAATGTAACTGAAACTTGCTTGAAGTTCAAGGTACTAACGTGACATGTTTTGATAATTCTTATGTGTGATAGGTAGTTGATGCGATGCGCCAAACTGTGACAAATATGATTGGAACTTTACCTCCACAATTTTTCGCCATTACTGTAACCACGGTAAGTGGCTATGATTTCAAGGCTTTGCTAGCCGTTATATTTGAGATGAGACGTGCTTTGATTATGGACGTACATGTCATCTCTGGGGCCGATGTAATTTTGGGGGATGTTGATTTTTCTGTAGGTCGCCGAAAATCTTGCTCAGCTTATGTATAGTGTGTTGATGACTGGATATATGTTTAGGAATGCTCAATTTCGACTAGAATTGCAACAAAGCCTGGAACAGGCTGCCCTTCCTGAAGCACAGGAGGAAAAGGCAAGTACTTTTTCGTGTGTTGATTTGTTGCCATTTTCTGGAACTAAATGAATTACTACTCTTTACTGCCAAATAATGTGTCAGTTTCAATTTGGATAATTTACTTCAACATATCCTGGTTGTTTTGTAGTTATTCGTGTCTTCTCTCAGGTTGAAGTCTCTTAGCATCACTCATGGGATAAAAGACATTTAACACTAATAGTAAATGGATTAGAACGGGCAAATGAAAATTAAAAAATATTCCTCAATGTAAGGCTGATGGGAAGTGAACATCCATTCTCTTATCTTAGGTAGGTGCACATCTTCCAAGTTAGCAGGGTAGTCAACTTGCTGTTTTAATACAAGAGATGGAAGGGTAAATGATATCAATCTGTTCATAAAACTATTTCTGGTTTGTCTCTCTTTGTTCTCCAGAAAACTTTGACCGGAAAAGAACATATGATTTTGTTTAAAGATCATGATGTCACAATAAAATGTTGACTGAATAACAGGGAAAAGATTTTAGTAGCTTTTTAACTTTCAAACTTATTCATAGAGAAGCTTTCAGTTTGTCCTGGTGTCTATGTTTCCTTTTATTCCCCCATACCTTTTTTTTCTTTTGTTTTTCAAAAAAATGAATATTTGCTCTTTTTCTTTCCTGTCTTTTTGTCTTCTGGTCCATCTGAAAATACGTGTCCTTTGCTGGATCTGTGAAGTGTGAAGTACATGTCTGTCATTTGCTAGAACTGCTGCTTGAATTTGGTTGCCAAAGCCAATATTTCTGATGAGTAACTTAGCACTCTTTTTACTGTTCAGGATTCAACAGATTATGCATCAGGTACCCAGAAAAAGGTGACTGGAGAAGTCATAAGGTGGAATAATGTAACAGGCCCTGAGAAAATAGACGCTTTGAAGTATATTGAGTTACTTGAAGCAGAAGTAGAAGAATTGAATCGTCAAATGGAAAGGAAATCTGGTAGCGGTTATAACGAGCTGTTGGAATATCTGAAGACGCTTGAGCCCCAAAATATCAAGGTCAGACAGCTTGCTGCTTGAATTTGGTGAGGGTATTTGACATTCGATGTTTTAGTGCAGGTGGGGAGGATATTTGAACATTCTGGGATTTTTTGGTGTAGGTAGTTATTGCTTAAAAACTGTTTGCTTTATATTGGTTTTTCTGAGTTTGCTTAACCACTATGGACGAGTAATATCTATTTCACAGACCTTGAACTGCTGCTGAGTCCATGGGCAGGCTAGATACAACCTTAACGATTGAGCTTTTATTTATGTTTTTGTATAATTGTGTCATTCCAAATGGAGGTAAATTTTGTTGATTTTTGTTATGTAATGAGATATTGCAGGAGCTAACCAGTACGGCTGGAGAAGATGTCGTGCTTGCCATGAATTCATTCATTAAGCGGCTCTTAGCTGTTTCAGATCCTAGTCAAATGAAGGTATAACATTTTCAGTTATTGCTTATAAGAGAAATATTAGTTATAGTGGCCATTGTCTTGATTCATTTCTGCAAAGATTCTAAAATTTCTCTGGCTGGCATAGCGTCTGTACATATAGAAGATGTTTAAATATCACTTATCAATATTGATTAACTTAATGTATCCATAGATCTTCATTATGGAGATGTGTTCAAAACTCTCCTCTCCTTGTGCCCATTTTGGCTAAAACAGGGTAGCTCTCAACTATTGAGACTAATATTCATGGGATCCTACAAAGAAGTGTCAAAACCTCATTAATAAAGATGTTCTCTTCAAAAGTTTGTAAAGCGTATTTATCATGTATTATTTTAAAATGGCAAAGGCAAAGCCTAGATAAACTATGTATACTTTTGTGTTCCATAAGATATGCATTAAGTATTGGAATGTATGAATAACATGTTTGTTGGTATGCTTATCATTTTCCTTTCATATGGGCTGCAGACTAGTGTAACAGAGACAGGTGCCCCAGAACTTGCCAAACTGCTATATTGGCTCATGGTGGTTGGTTATAGCATACGGAATATTGAAGTCCGCTTTGACATGGAACGGGTACTAGGTACTCCTCCAAAGCTCGCTGAGCTGCCTCCCGGTGAAAATATTTAGACACCTGTAAAAAGTGTCTATTATAGCAAGCATAGAAAGTTAAAGCAACATGCCTTTTGATGAGCTTTGTTGGTGGAGAGGGGTCAATAGTAAAAGGTTAAAGAGCTTGTACGACTATCTGGGAGGACGACAGCCAAAATTGGTTTTAGTGGCATTTCTTCATTCACCTCCCCGCCCCACTCCCACTGTTATTCTCAGATTGAGAGCATCATTAAAACTCTTATGCAAGAAACTGTACTAAAAATTGATACGCAGTACAAGTTAAGTTAACCTGATTCCTCGCCCTCTAAATTGTACCTCTCCATTGATGGGAATGAGAAATTGTATTCCAGGACTAGCTTTCTGATATCTGATCTAACGACTTGATCTTTGAGGAATTACTAATAATAATACTACCGGTTCTTTTTATCTTTCTTTAAAGTTTTGATAGTAAGAAAATCATTTAATAGCATTAACTATAAAAGAGTACTTGACTAATTTACTCTAGTCTCTTCCTTAAATGAGTGAATAACGATTATAAGAGTAGCAAACTTTGATTTGAAAAGGATCGTTAATGCCTTCTTGGTTTCCTAAAGCATATTTGAAAGTCTCCTGGCCCATTGACTTTCACTAGGTGACCACGATACTGGATATCCAAGTATAGCACACCATCTTAATTGTAGTAAGGCAACAGTAAGATATTCCTTTGAGTCTTTGAAAGGCTCAAGAATCTGGGACTCGTCTTCCAAGTCTTCACCAAGAATTAGATTTTCGAGTTCAGTTTGCTTGTCATCCGCAATGTTGTCATGCCCAGCAATCATTCGCACACTCAAAACTTGCAATGCTTCCATGGCAGTATTGTAGAATCCATGGTCTACGTATGCAGCGAAAACATGACTGCAAGTTGATGGATCTGGCAGAACCCCATGGACGTGCATCTGCTCCACAATGAGCTCGATGACATCTATTCTTCCCTGGAAATAACAGTTTCATGACCTAGTTAGAAAGCATACAGATTCTTCAAGCAGTAAAAGGTAATATGCAGCTGCAGTTTTCATTTAACTTAACAAGTGGATGGGTTCATTCAATTTCCTGTTAAACTAACAGTCCTCTCCACTCCCCCTAACTGCCAGGCAAGTAGTTTTTCTTTCTTTCCGTGTTCTCTAGCATCCTAACTCCCCCAGAATCCTCCTCTCCACTGCCATCTATGATTAACATTTCTAAGAAAGTGTCCAGCGCCCTTCTGGAAGAAATCTAAGCTGAGAAAACACTACCTCTATATTTGGGTTTTTTTCAAGCTTTATGGAAATACCGAAAAGAAAAAATGATACCCCATTTGAATTCAGTTACTTCTATTTTTTGCAATAGAAGTAGAATTGTCTTGAATTCAGTTACTATCTTATGGTAGCCCAAGACAAAAATAATTGAAACAGCAAAAAGATTGATTGTGAAGCTTCCTTCCCTATGTTGCTTGGACTCTCCGAAATGTTGCTGGATGCGTGTCGGATCCTCCAAAAATACACTATTTTTGGAGGATCCGACACGGGTGCGGCATCATTTTGGAGAGTCCGCGCAACATAGTTCCTTCCTATAATTTCAAGATGAGGTACCAGGGTTCCACCAAATAACAGAAAAGAAATTCAAATAAAACCTTTTTTCTGTGCAACAATTTCATGTTATTCTATACATACAATAGATTTGGCTTCTAATTTACAATTATCGAAAATAAATAAATATTGGTTCTACTAAAAGGCAAGGATTTTATTAATAACAATACAATACCTTATAGGTTAATATTTTAGTTAATTACCTTCTCAGATGCCACTTGAAGAATGGTGTTATATAAAAGTACATCAAGCTGGATCCCTTCTGAAATTCCTTGATTCAACAATTTTAATGAACCATCAAAGTCCTCAGATCTCAACAATATCTGACAGCAGAAACAACTCAGTTCTCAGATGGAACATCAGTGGGCACCATTTGCAAATCAAAATAGTCATAGAGGGAAAAATAAGCTGGTGAACAATAACCATGCTTCATAGCTATCTATTACTCCCTCCGTTCCAGTTTATGTGAACCTATTTCCTTTTTGGTCCGTTCCAAAAAGAATGAACCCTTTCTAAATTTGGTAACAATTTAGCTTAAAGTTACAACTCTACCCTTAATGAGAAGCTTTTATAACCATACAAATACTCTGGGCCCCATTTGGACTTGTTTAGGACCACAAATTCCAAAAGTCTTCATTTTTTTCTTAAACTCCGTGCCCAGTCAAACATGTTCACATAAATTGGAACGGAGGGAGTAGTTCTTGTAGTACATTCACCCAAAGAAAGAGAACGCTTTTTATTCACCATAAGCTAAGATCTAGTGTACCACTAAGGCAGATAGGTGATGGTTGTGGCTAGGCATTTTGTCCCAACCAATCGCCAATATTTTCGCCCCCTTCCAGCTCAATAAAGTATCAGACAAACCCAAACTGTTGCAGCGTTTTAGAAAACCAACAAGTTAGTTATGGTGGTCTTGGGTTTACGAGGTTTAGTGAATCATTTGATTGATTTTCTTGGCAAAGTTTATAAATAGTCAAAAAGTTAGCGGGATAAGTGCTAGAAAGCACATACTGTCCACTTCATAAAAAGTCGTTTTCAACAAATAAAGAAGGATAGGTGCTTAGGCCAAGTTTGTGCAAGTTTACTTTTTATTTTTATTTTTCTAATGATCCAGCTTCCGCAGATTAGTGAGAATAGCTAAACAAGACTAAGCAAATACCTTTAACAGACCAGTTAAAGTCACTGCTTGAGGATTGAAACCATTGCGTAACATCATAGAGATCAGGGCAAGTGCAGATCTGAAACATCCAATAATGCTACAGCAATCAATCATGATATTATATGTTGCAGCATCAGGTGGAACTCCAGAAGACACCATAGATTTGAATATCTGTGTTGCCATTTGGCTCTGAAAAGAAAAAAATAGACTCAGTCAGCAGACACAGTGTCACTGATATAACTATGAAACAGATGCTTATATAGTAGAAATCCCAGGTTGATTACCTCTTTAGCCTCAACAAGGGAATGCAAAACTGTATTATAGACGGGTGTGATCATATAAGTGTCATAACGAGAGAACCGATTCTCCGCAGCATGTAAATATTGAATCAGCTCCTTTATCATCCCTTCTGTTCCAAGCGCTTTCAACTGGAAAATAAAGAAGAGTAAAATCCATGGATATTGCACAAAAGCATGCAGTCAATACAATACTGGAACTTAAATCTTTTTAGTATTAGGGCACAAAACAATGGAGCATCTGCAGTAGAAGCATAAACAAAAGCTGCAAGGTATGGAGCTGTTTCATAACTCAACCATGAGGTCAGGGCTCCAGTCACTAACGGAGAAGGGTGGTGACAAAACACTGTCGGTCTCCTAGGTAGATGGATTTGGAGGAGGGTGAGGTAGGGGTGGGCATCGGTCGGTTCGGTTTGGTTATGAATATTATCGGTTTAGCATATCGGTTATCGGTTTATAAATTTGATAAACCGATAACCGAACCGATAAGATATCGGTTATCGGGTATCGGTTAATCGGTTATCGATCATTATCGGTTCGGTTATCGGTTTACCCGATAAGATAACTCAATCTAGAGTTAAGCAAAAAAGAAAAGACAATTCACTGGAGTTAAGCAAAAAAGAGAAGAATTCACATATAGTATACTAAAGACTTACGCTAGGAGTAACTAGTAAGGTCTATGAAGAATGAAGATGAAGCAACTGAAGAGTGGGGTTGAGAAAGAATAGGAGAGAATGAACTGAAATCCTAGAATTTGTATATACTTAAGATAAAGTCGTAATTTTATTAATTCTTATTGGGTTATCGGTTAACCCATTAACAAAATTGGCAAACCGAGGCCCGAACCGATAACCCAATAGTAAAAAAAAATTCTAAACCGTTACCGAACCGTTAATCCAATAACCCGATACCGATAACCCAATAAACAATTAACGGTTCGGGTTATCGGTTTTACCCGATATATGCCCAGCCCTAGGGTGAGGCTTACCCTATCAAAAAATAAAAGATAGTTTTTTGTGTATATGAGCAGACACTATCTCTCTTTCTTGTAATCTTTTGCTTGCTTCCACTGGATGCGTTTAATGAATTCCCCTTACTTCATTAAAAAAACGATTTAAACACATTCCTGTACAATATTTGACAATTATATGAAATACTTTAATTATCAAAAAAAAATTATATGAAATACTTTACTGATTATTTAACAAAAGATTTAATAGAGAAACACTATTATGAAAATGCAAATAAAAGTATAAATAAGCTATTAGCATAGTAGACATTAGATTAAACAAACTATGACATCTTCAATATTTAAAATTCAGTGACCCAAATCATAGCTGATTTACTCATTCAGATAATCATCTCTACTTAGCTTAGGAAGTAAAACAGTAATCAAATAGATCAAAAGCTAAATTTGTTTTAGTTGAGGAAAAGTATCATTTACCACATTCTTCAATGACAGGTGACTGTGCTGAAGGCCGTATTTCATCATATCCATTTCTATAGCATTTATCCTTTTAGCAACATCCACTTGTGACAGCATGTTGCCCTCTTCATAAGGTGCATTCACATTACCAAACAATGAGAATAGCAATTCATATGTCCTGATATTTGGCTGGAGATTCAACTTTTTCATCTTAGCCAATATCTGAACTGCTCGTTCAGGTTGATCCTACAATATTAATTTGTAAAAGACTCACAAACTGGACATCTCAGTCTAATACAATTGACAAGAGAGATGCGCAATTCTACCGAAAAGATGCTGAAAAAACAAGGTGATGCTGGATATGGCAGAATTTAGAAGACCCTAAAGCAATATATCTAGTCTTAGTTACAACAAGAGGGGGCGTTATCCATATTTGAAATTCTAGAACATTTAAGTCAGAGGGTAGTTATAGTGGCAACATTTTAGCTTGACATACAAAACTCTTTTGCTGAAAGCTAGCTCAAAAATCTCATATTCCTTATAAATCCTGAAGAAAGCAAAAGATATGGCGGTGATATCAAGATGTGAAGAAGCAAGAATATGCTCAGAGATATAATTTTGACTGGCTAGAAAAACAAAAGTCTGGACAAGCTGATTGGTCTTTTTGAACTATCCACGAACCTACTTAACTGAGAGTCAAAACCTCACCAGTTCCAACTGTACTGATCTAAGGATGGGAGCAGTGATGATCTACTGCTTTGAATTATATTGTATTTTTTCCGAAACAATTATTTATGTCTTACCAGGACATCACATGCTTCAAGGAAAGCATTATAAGGACGAGGACTTCGGATTTCGGCTATCTCATCCAAGAAAGCCTCTGCCCTATCGAGTTGTAACTCTCTGCTGCAGATGACTGCTAAAACAGCAAGAGTTGAATCATGAGGCTTAATATTTTTCTCTTGCATAACCTTTAGCTGCAAAATTTGAAAAACTACATCATGTCAAACTGAGAAAACCACGAGCAAGTACTATCCATGGAGAAAGAGAAGTTCCAAAGAAGATTCCCATGATAATAAGTATATCTTACCACTTCCACTCCATCACTAAATCCTCTTGCGGTAACAATTGCCCTAATGAAGCCATCATATGTACTCCCTGATGGTTGCAAACCAAGAGTTTGCATCTAAACAAAAGAGATGACTTAGTGAAACACAAACAGGAAATTCCTTATTGATATTGAGACAATTGTTATTGGCATATATTTCTGTGTTCAACGATGATATGTGTCTAGCCATATTGTTCTAAGGACTCTGACTATCCTACTGATCCCTGCACTCACATTGACCAAATGGAGACATAGCAACTGGACATTGTAGTAATACCTGTAACATTAACTGCTCAGACAAATCACAATTTTGAACTTTTGCACAAGCATGCATGACATCATTGAAGGACCACCTTAAAAGTTTTGTAACAGATGCACTTAATGGTTTTTTTACTGTGCTTATTTCAATGCTGCCAATACTTTGCCTTTCCAAGTCAAAACTGGTGCTACCCTCTGTGTTGAGAGATGCATCGATGAAACTCAGGTTGCCAGTGGAAGGCGCTGGAATATCCAATCTTAAATCACAAAACCTTCCTTCAGCAGTTCTACTTATGTAAGAGTTTTCTCTAACAACCAAGCTCACCATGTGTTGTAAAGTTGTGTAGGCTGATTGCAGATCTCTCAGCTCCATAAAGGACCATATAAACTTCCTAAGAGAAATAACGCTGAGACTGTAATATTTACTACATTCCTTCCAGATTTCATGGACAGCAGACAGGCTTTGCTGCAAAACTGCAAGCTGAAACAATGAGCTTAGAACAACATTTATTCAGACAAACAATTAAACTGCTGTCTTAAGAACTATATTCAACATTTAAAAAGCTGATTTAGAACAAAATGAAACAGAAATAATTAATTGCATGGTGCATACTACCTAATTTGGTTAGGAATGAAGAGGGAGAAGTGGATTAAAGGAGGTGAATAGTTTATTTTCCTTGTCCCTGGCGAGGGAAAATCTGATTGCACAAGTTCTCGTTTCACTTCTTGTTAAGACAAAGGAGAAATGATCTCCAAAGCACTTCTCAAGAACAAGAGATAACATTTAACAGAATATAGATCATACAAATTAGTGAAGGCGATGTACCAGAAAGTAAACCATATTATCCAAATAATTATTGCTGGAGAATATTTAAGTTACCAACCGATGCTGAATAAGAAGCTCCTATACAGCATATCATATAATCACAAGTTTCACAGTTGGCTATCAGATTAGATTTCTGCTAGACATCAGGAATCAGTTGGAGAAGAACGCAACCTACTGGAAGTACCACCTTTTAATTACAAATGCATAATTGGTTTTATATCACAGCATGGGACTGCTGAATATGAAATTTTTTGTTACACAAAGTTCTATGGTTTTAAGGTGTTATAAGCAGAAAAGAAGCATCAAAACTGGGGTCGATATGAATCAGTTCTATAACCAGAATTAGCATGAATCAATGGAAATGATTCATTGGGAATATAGTAAGAGGGACAACTGGAAGACAAATAAGATATTAAACTTTAACTACAGGACAATAACATTTCTGTTGAAAGACCTCTAGATGCACCTTGAGAAGCTGAGCATATGTTATCTCATTCTTTCCCACCATCTGATGCTCCATCAAACCCATACATTCATTAACATAATCTACTGTATGTGTTTCAGAACAAGCCACCAAGAAGTTGTTATAAACAGGCAACATAGAATAACTATTTGGGTTTTCTTCCATGATACTCATCAAACTGAGTGCCTGAATGAAATAAAGAAGAGAAAACTTTAATATGGAGCTTATGAAGCAAATCCTTTACAAAGGGAAGTATTGAAATAAGAGTCTTCAAAGAGATATCAGATGGAAACACATAAATGACACAACAACAACCCAGTAAAATTCCACCAGTGAGGTCTGGGGAGGGTAGAGTGTACCAGACTTTACCCCTACCTTAGAGGGGGTAGAGAGGCTATTTCCGGGAGACCCTCAGCTCAGATAAACACAAATGACACATGGCAAGGAAAAGACAAATATAATTTCTCAATAATAATGCAAGTAGTACAACGGGTAATTAATCATTCAGATAGGATGTCACTTGAACTTCCAAAAGAATATCAAGAAGAAGTCAGATAAACCGACAATGTGATACGCAAACTACACCTTGCAGTAAATAATAGTATCCTCCATCAAGCACCTAGATGTCAGTTGTCCAATTAAAAGTCTGGCAATTCATAAACATTCATCTTCGGACAGGTAGAAAAAATACCATTGAGAGTTGAAGTTTAACAGTTATTCGATAAGTTCTTTTAGAGCCAGTCTATGCTAATTTGGAAAGCAAACCAGATGCTAGTACCTCCTTCAAGTAACCCCCTTTACAGAGTGCTCGAACAGCAAGAAAATAGCACTTGGCACTAATGTCGATTTCCTTCTCCTCCATAATCTTCCAAGTCTCCATCACAAACTACAGCCAGAAAAAAGAAGAAGCACAAAACTTCTTCAAGTTATTGTTCAGACGAGACAAAAAATATTGCAAAATGACATTCCAGAAAGCCTGCATATTTGTTCTTAGTAGAAGTAAAAGACATTAAGGTAGTTGGCACAGGATGTCAATAATTCTTTGTCCGGGTATCTAACCTAGCATATACAACATAGTTGATTGACCATTTAAACTATCAGTGGCTATGATTCTGCAATATGTGCTCATTAATGTAAAGTACTATGATGACATTTCTTATCTGATACACAAAAACAGTCAGGATAAACATATATCGTATGCAGGGGCAGAGCTAAGTTGTTCAACTGAATCCCCTTCGTTTAAAAATAAAACGACGCAAATAGAGTAAAAACAAATTTTTTTGGTATATTTACACTGTTCAATCCCATTGACAGAAGGAAAAATTCTAGTTAAGTGACAAAGGGAGTTCAAAAATTGTTTTAAGTCGTAGGTTCAAATTCCAGGAATGACATTTCTAGTGGCTCCGACACTGATCATAAGCATATCCTTTTTGCATTTCTACATAGATACATGAATCTTGTGTCACAAATAAATATGGATATTCACATTCACAAATACCAACAAGTTGATGATTTATCATTTTATACCGCTAGAGGTAGTGAAAGTTCTCATAGCTTGGCTAAAGCCTCCAATTTCCTTCCCTCCCTACAAAATAAAACTCTATTAGAATTCAGCTTCAATTAATTCAACAAAATGTAGCAAAACTATAAGCAAAAAATAAGAAATAAAAAAATTAGCTTTTACTGCAAAAAGTTAACTTACATTTCGAATATCATTTAAAAGTGTTTGCACTATCGAACTCGATCGGACTTTCGATCTGGTAAAAATAAACCTATAAGAACATTATATATCCAAAAAATGCAAGTAACTGAGTGAGTTTTGAATAATAAAGAAATTGTACTTACAGAAGTTTAGGCATGTTCACAGTGCTTCCTGTTAAATAACTTAAAAACTTTCGGTAAATTTTAATAGTATTAGCGAAGAAACTCGCCGGAGCGGCGAGTCTATAAAGTCCGGTAAATGTATCGAGTATAGGCTATAGCTAGCCACCTCCGGCGAGTCGCGAGAAGACACTGGTTGCTGGGCTTCTTTTCCTTTTTCAGACACATTACTGGGCTTTGGCCCACGTTACTGGGCTTCGGTTCACTTAAACTTTGGGCCTAGAATTCTACCGACTGAGACCGATCTTTCCATGTGAAACTGATATTTTATTTTTAATTTTGGGGTTTTGACACAGTTACCTACAAAAACAAAACTATTTACCTTTGTCTACCCATTTGTTTTTCTACCCATAAACTAATTACATTTCATACCCACAGTAGGTTTTGTGAAAATTTTTTCTTTATTCTCCAATTCTTTTTTATGTCTATGCTTCTTTTCTTTTCTTTTTTCTTTTTTTTCTTTCTCCTTTTCTTTTTTCTCGTTTTCTTCTTATTTTTTTCTTTTTTTCTTTTCTAATTTCATTTAATTTTTTTTTTATATTCTTTTTCTCTTCATAATCTAATTTCATTTACTGTTTTCACTATTTGTTATTATTCTTTTTTATATATTATTACTAAAGAAAAATCAAATTGTGTACCAATTAAATGTAGCTAACACAACCAAAAAAATATTAACTAACATATAATACCAGTATAGTATATAGCTATACCAACTGGGTATACAATTATACGCAAAGAGTTAAAAAAAAATTAATTCAATTATTAAACTGAAATAATATCAGTTGTCAATAAAAATTTCAAAAAATTCTAAAAGCATCTAATTGTAAGAGTATACCGTTAAATTATATATCATATTATAATATTTTCTTTTTTGCATTTTCAATTTGTCCCTCACGCTGGGTAAAAGCTTAAAGCAAATTAAAAGAAAAAAGACAAGTGAATTTACGTGTAATAAGTATACTATTATAGTATATTGTATATTATTACAACATACTGTTATAGTATATTGCATATTATTATAGTATATATATTGTATACCATAATAGTATACTGTTGTAGTATAACTATATACTCCTATAGTATATTGTATATTGTAGCGGTATACTGTTAGGTAGCTGTGTTCTTCTTCGATTATTACAATATACCGTTGCAGTATATTGTAAACTATAATAGATACCAAAATGGTATATTTGTATACTATTTGGGTATACAATACAAATTCGTCTTCTTCCCTGGTTCAACTATATTTCAACCCAAATTTCTAAAATCTGCTACAAAATATTCACCAAATTAACTAAAACTTTAGCTACAACCTCCAATCAAACTTTTCAAACAAACTTATGCAAGATCGGATCAAAACAATTAAAAACCCAAACAAACCAAGTTATGAGTTTCAAGCTTTAAGGTCCTTCAATGGTGGATTTAAATTTTTGTACAATAAATCTTCAAAAACCAGCATCAAAGGTACAATCTACACATCAAAGAGCAATAACTAACGAATTTCAACAGTAAAACACCATAAAAAATAATCAGATCTGGCATTTTGAACTTATGGGTTAACAACAAAAATTGATCTGTTCTTCCTATGATCTAGTTTTTGAATTGTGCCCTGCACTTTAGTGTTGGAAACTTGTTTTTGCGGGTCGACCCGATTGATGGGTGGATACTATATCAGTCAGTTTCAACAGGGAATGGGGAAAACAAGAATAATATGAATAATGGGGATTTTATTACGCACGAGGAAGCGAAAAGGCTGATGAGATTGGTGAATGTTGAGGAGCTGAAGTGGAAATTAGGTATGGAGAATACTGAGGTTATAGTGAGCTGTTTAAAGCTTGTGAAAAAATGGGTGTGGCTAAAACGCGTGATAAACGGGTAAATAGTTTGGAACGCATGGGTAGGAGTAGTAAATAGTTTGGGCCTGGGCATTAAATGTCACGACCCGAATTTCCCACCATCGGGAGTCGTGATGGCGCCTACTGTTGGAGCTAGGCAAGCCAAACATTTAAACATTTTCGGATAACAACATAACAATAATAAAATAACGAGTCTTTAAATAAATGCGAAAGTCTTTTAAAACATAAAAAACTGAAAACCCAAAATGCGGAAGTCTAATATTTCACTACCTAAGACTGGAGTCGCTGTCTCACGAACCACTAAAGAGTGCTACAAACAAGTCTGGATAGAAAAATACATAATGTCTGTCTCGGTACAATGAAAACAAACAGAAAATATGGAAAGGGACTTCGGCCTGTGAACGCCAACTAGGCTACCTCGTAAGTCCCTGGACTGAAGAGGGCTCCCGATCAATTACTGCTGTGGTCCAAGAGCTACTCCGGTACCGTAATCTGTGCAAAAAGCACAGAAGTGTAGCATCAGCACAACCGA